CCTGTGTGTGTTGTAAAGTAACCACCGTCCCAAGTTCACTCTCGTGATGGACTACAATCTCACATTTGGTTTACTAATTTGTAGTGAGATTGAAGTCCATCATTGGAGCGAGCTTGGAGCGGTGGCTACTTTACAACACACACAGGGACCATGGGGAACAAAAGTAGCCACCCTCCAGAATGAAGGACAGTGTCAGCACCAATTCAGAGATGATTTGAGGATCTACAGCCGAGTAATACACATATAAGATTTTTGTTAATAGTTAAGGTACTTAAATGCATTCTTAAGGTGTAACGCCTGAGTTCAGTGCCACTTCATTTGTACCTAGCACTAAACGACTTTGGATTTAACACTGCAATTTCCAGCCAACACTGAATTTTCCGTCATAGCGTTAAATTTTCTTTAGAGCATTGTGCAAACACACCCCAGGGAGCAGCACATCTCGTCAAGCCTGGCTTTTATTTGATATCTAATTCATCCTATAGTTTATTGTTCACTGTAGGAAAGCAAGAGATTCATAATGTGGTAAAAGGCTAATATATTTAAAAGTTAGTACTAAGTTAATCTTTCAGCTACACAGAAAGGTTAAAGAACAACAACCATCATATTAACTTTCTGCTTTCTGCTGATCTAGACAGAGGTATTTGCAGGTCTCACTTCCATCATAGATCCAAATAAATAGTTCTATAATATTAAGCTGAATACTCTAAACCAGTGGTTATGGATATGCAGTTGACCACAAAGGCATAAAGGAATGATTTCAATGGTTCCGATGGTTCAATGGTTCCGAATACTCTTGTAAAATGAAGAATAAACCCCATTATTTATGTATCCGTGAGACCTGCATATTTGTTTTATTTTAAGAAGACTCTGCTGTGCTTCTCACAAATTAAGTGGGAAGCTTTTTGTTTCATTTTGACCTCACCATAGTGTATCTGGTTTTTCCATTTTGCTGATCTGCTGAAATGCTGTACACTGGATAATAGAATCTGCATATCTGCTGGCTTCAAACTGTAAAGGTTATTTTGCCAGCCTGATCGAAATAATGGTAAGTATTAAAGAGCACAACCTTTAGAATTCAGCTTGTATTTTACACTTTTAAGCATGCGATTGCGGGTGTTGTGATTGCACTGCCGCTTGTTCCTGCTCCCTGTGCCATTTGATTGACAGGTCTGTGACAGGGAACAGAGAGGGAGGATAATTTTGATCAGCTGGCTGCACTAGGCTGCACCTCAAGGGCAGGGAGCCATGAGTACAGGTGGATGGAGGATGGTGTGAGCTGTAGAGGTCTGAAATCTGTTGGACCACTAGGGAGAGGGGTGCATTCTGAGAATCAAAATGGAGCCAGAGAGCAGAGTGGTTGGACTCCTGCATTACGACAGCCACTGAGAGGTCCATTCTGATTAGCCACAGCAAGACCCCTCAGGAGAAAGGAAAAGTTCAAGCGGGACCTGTCAACAGCATTGTGGCCTACCTTTCATAAGGTCTTCATCCGGCCACAGGAGCGACCACAAGTGGATGGACTACATCCGGGTGGACATCCCATTGGATGTCTCTGGCCACACATAGTTGTGCTGAACTTGCTTACACCTGTGGTGTTGGAGACCACTGCCTATGATGGAGCTTTCTTAAAGGGGACCACCACATCTTTTCACTGTCATGTGTTTTGGGACACTTTGTGAAGATACACTTACTTTTTGTTCATTACAAATTCCTTCACTGTGATAGATTTATCCAATCAACAGTGGTTAGTTAGGGCTAGTAGGTTGTTGCTATGCCCCTGTAGTTAGCTGCATCCCTCTCTCTTTCTAGTTTGGAGTTATTTGGTTGCATTGATTGTTGCTTATTACTTCTTGCTGCTTCTTTCTTCATCTGCCAGTGCATTCAGAGAAGGCCTCTCACTGGCGGTAAAGAGAAAGTACACCAGCTGTATTCATTTAATTGTGTTCATGAATGATAACAATGTTAACAATCTATTGCTTTTACTGCTGCTCAAGCTGTCCTACCAATACTTTTCTGCAGGGCTTACTGCCTTTGTTGAACAGAGGCGAAATATCGCTATTTGTGTGACTTTTTAAGAGTCCTGCAGGTCTTAAGGTGCCCATACACTGTACGATTCTCCTACGAGAATCGCGGGAAATCCTGCGATCGTACGATAATCGTACAGTGTATGGAAGGCGTGCGACTGTTTCTACTGTACGGTCGCACATTCCAACGAACAAGCAGGCTTGAAAACCTGCAGAGAATCATACGATTCTCGGTGGGTTAGTGGCCTGCTTGTTCGACGGAAGACGTGCGACCGTACAGTAGAAACAGTCGCACGCCTTCCATACAATACATTCTACAGCGGGTTAGTGGCCTGCTTGTTCGACAACTGCCGAACGGGCTGGTGTGCGCACGCGCACACTGCCCGTTTGCAGTGATAGGAAGCTCGCCCCTCACTGCGGGGGCGGGCTTTCGATGATCGCAAGTATGATCTGCCCGTCCAAGATGGGCAGATCGTACGAGCTTTCAATAAGCTTACGACCATCGCAAGAAAAAAGTCTTGCGATGGTCGTAAGGTGTACGGGCACCTTTAAATAAATGCAGACACTGCTGTTTTTCTCATGAAAACACTATGATTCCTCAGGTGGTAATAATGACTGACCCTCTCATTCAGAAAACAGTTTGTGGAAGGACAAACCGTTTTAAATAAGCAGTGATTTTCTCAAAACAGTAAAATGTATGAACCAGTAAAATGTTTTCTAAAATGCTTGCAATGTATAGAGCTTACAGTATCTAGAGGGGACTGGAGCTGAAAAACAACTAAATACATAGCCAGATATATGATAATTGTCTTACCTGAAAAAAAATGTAAATCTAGATATTTTATTAAGCCAGACACCCCTGTCAGATAGTATACATACAAAAATCATACAAAATTAGGAACACAAAAAAAAAGGATTTAAAAGACAGGGCTAAGGTTGGTCATAGACATCAATGAACAGATGGACCATCTCATGATGTATTTGGGACCAAAATCTTCCCTGGAAAGCATTTCCTTACCAAAGAAGGATGGGGGGAAGAGTGCTGGAGATAAAAATGTGTGTGCACAATCCTGGCGTCAGCTTATCCTTGGGGAAAAAAATAGCTGTCAGCCAAAGTTTCCTAGAATCCTTCACTGTTTTCCCCCCAAAAGCGCTCCTTCGTGGCTGTTGTGCACTTCCCCATATGCATTCAAAACCAGGCAGATCAGAGAGACTTTCATCTATTACCTGTTGGAACCCTTAGCCGGTCTTGCAGCCAGGCGGGATTTAGGTTCAGGTGAGTATATCTGAGTATATCTGTTATTTTATATCCGAAGACAAAACGAGCACTTAACCCTTGCAGTGCAAGGGTAGCCCCATTGCAAGTGTTAATCCTGCTTCTGCCCACATTTGTTCTTTAAGTCTTTCTCAGTTCATAGCAAATGCAGGTCTTATTACTGCTTGTGTATGTACATAAGCACACCCTTTTTCATGGTCATATATCAAATAATGACTGCTGTACAAATGTGTAGTAAACTCTGTTTTATTTTTTGCTGCTTTGCACACTTTTAACACTGTAAATAACTTATTTCCAATCACAATCTTTTTAAATATCAGTTTAACTGTTCAATATACATATACAACAGTTTAGTGCTTGTCTCAAAATGTTCTTGTTTTATTAGGATTGTGTTCTACCTGATTTACCTGTTTGGTCTTATGCAGAAATGGTAGATGATTATTTGGACCCACTTCTGTGTCGCTGTTAACTCTGCAATTTGATTGCATATCTTTCTTGCACAAGTGTGCTGTTATGTAGGGGATGCTCTGGGGATAGCAATAATACTAAAAGTACTAGATGCTGTGTGGAATTTACCATATGGTATTTACTATACGGCCAATTTGGTAATTAAAGGGACATAATGACAACAAAATGTTGTCTTAACCTATTTTTCTGTGGCTTTTACCTTGGTATTTGGATAAGCAGGGTGATGGAAATAAAGTTTAGTTAACATGCAGCCATTGCCTCTTTCTCAGTAAACATCCGATTGGTGTATACAGTACAGCATGCAGAATGTACAGAAAATCAAAGATCATGCTTGCTCAAAGAACTCACTTTGAATACACGATGGATTATGCCTCCAGTCAATTTCAAAATGAAGAATGGATCAAACTAAACACAAACCCAGCTGCTTTGGCTGTGGTTTGTTACTCCTTGCTATGGAACTATTTTTTTCTGAAAAATAAAAGGATTTTTATGGTGATGTTATATTTTTAAACCTGTGCTCATTAATTTTTTCATCATACGCTTGTTGGTTTCTGCTACATTTTTGTTACACTTTGTTACATTTTTACTGTAAAGAACAATTGCACACCTATCTGTAAGTTACAATTTACACAAACCATTTAAACTTCACACATCACATCATGCTTTAAGACAAAGTTAAGACAAAGTAGAGGACACATCAGATCCACATGTGGGCCTAAGAAACCACAAATAAATCTAATGTTAAAGCACCATAGTAGTGACACTAGAAAACACCAAAATGTGGATTACAACATTTGGTGTAGTAGCTAAGCCACTTTAACATCTTGATTTATAAATAAGCGCTAAGATTTTAATTATGCTATTACTTATTCAATTTTTTTTGCTTTAAAAGAAAGGAGATGTGACATACTATGGTAAACCCAAGGTGGCAATATAAACTGCTCAATGTATGTACCCTGCATGCTACATAACAATTTATGTTATGTTGATACTTTTTTAGGATGAAGCTAAAATCATCTTTGATCTGCTAAAAATTGAATATACAGTTTTTATGAAACAAACATGTCTGCTAAGTCCTGTCTCCAGATGTCAAGCACATAGAATAATACAAAAGAACATTACATGTCTTCTTGTACTTTAACCTGTACCATGTCTTCACCTTCCAACTGTCCTTAGCTCTGGCTCTTCACTCTATATGTTCCTTCCAGGTACAGTAGTGTTGATTCTGCTCTGTGTTTCGCTCTTATCTTGCTGAATCTGGTTGCTCACAAACTGGTACATTGGATATCCTCTGGGCTCATGCTTGGCTTGTCCTCTTTGTATTGCCTCCTAAAGTTCAGCTTGTTGAACTCCTGTGAGATTTCAACAATTGTTTTTCCCTTGGTTTCAGGAACGATAAAGAATATTAGAGTTCCAAAAAGAAGGATAACAAATATGAAGAGGAGGAAACAGAACTGTTGGAGACTCTCCTGGAAAACATAAATTAAGATCCCAATGGGTATAACAAAGAAGATAATGTGAGTTTCCTAGTATAGTAAGGAATGTTTTGACAACCAGGAGAAAAAGGAGGGATAGAATGGAAAGAATAATAATAAGAAAAAATGGAGAATAGAAGAGGAAGAATTAAAAGAGAAAGAGGGGGTAAGTAAATGAGATAAGCAAATTAGTTTAGTATGGCCACAAGCAGATAGATCAGTCATACGCAATGACAGGTTGGGGGAAATCTTCCAATCCTAGTTAATAGAGAGCACCACTTGGACCCGCTGTGAACATTCTCCTTGGTTCAGCAACCGACATAAGTAGTGCACATGTAATAAAAGTGTGTTCCCTTTTGTTCAAAGAAAGGTGAATTATTGCCGATTGTGCGTGTAGAGATTGTTAATTGTGTCACAGAATTTATTTGTATGATAATTAGGGCATGTTAGGTGTCTATCAGTTTTTCACCTGTGCATGGATCAATTATAAAACTTGATACTTAAAGGTATTAGATGGATTTCATTTATCAAGTAATCTATGGTCATCTATTGACACCCTGTTCATCTTAAAATTTAGAGAAGATGCTGGTGTGTTATTAATTTCATCTCCATTGGGTACCTAAAGTAAGAGGTTCTATAACACATATATGAGTGAAGTGGAACTGACTGCTACAAAAGAGAGTTTTGAATAACTGAGCAAAGAGACTTACCACAATATATGGGAAAACCATCCCTAGGATGTAGAGCCCAACCCAACTGAAAACTCCTGAGACAACAAAGGCTGGAACTCGGGGAGCCTGTGCAAAGATTTCTACACACGTAGATATGGTGGCTCCAGCTGTGAAAGAAAATATGACTGTAAGAATCCAATGCATTATGAAATAGGTTTAAAATATAAACAAACCCATCACAGGGAAAAAACATGCTCTGAGGATGTGAACATTGTTACCACTAGAAATAATTGTTGCTATTAGAATAAGCATCACAAATGAATCTGTTTATTAAACTGAACAACCATACAACTTTCCATAGTGGTTACCCCATGATATCTATTAAGACAGGATGCTAATCCACAACATGCAAACTGTATGTTATGTCCCGCCTATTCTTTGTCTCCTCCTGTATACTATGTAATGTGGAAAGATTTCAAGGGAAAGTGTTGATTGATTATCTCAGCAAAAGGTGAGAAGCTAAGTCACTATATTTGTTGTAGGGTTTGAATTCAGTTAGGTATTAGCTGTATTGTATAATCTACCAACATTAGGTACATATTACTAGAACATTTTATTGCAGTCACTGAATTAAATAAACTAGAGCACACATACTGCAAAGAAATCAGCATATATAAGTTACATAAAAGATTAGATGAAAAATTATGAAGAAAGTAAAATGCACTTACCTGGTCCAGCTCCATAGAGGAAAATGAATGTAAAGGTTAGTCCAACACTGCAGTATGGCATCCAAAAATATGCTTTCTAAAAGTTACAAGAGGAATACAATATTATTGTATTACATTATACAAAACAAATGCACTTTCTAAGAGTGAGATACAGGAAGTAAGTTGAATGGAACAAATAGGGATCTATTTACAGTATGAATATTTTCACCCATGATTAAGAAAACATTCACCAAAGATTCATATATTTTTCTAATTTAATTGGGAAAATATGTGAATCCTGGGTGACAATTGTCTGAATCTTGAGGGACAACATGTATAAATAGGCCCTTGTTGTATTTTTCCACATATTGCCTTTGTGAGTAACGTCTAAGAGTAAACAATAGATTTTCTTATTTTAGAAAAAATACATTTGAAACATTGCATATATAATAATAATATTATATCTTATATGGGTTAATACAGTTACATAGTAACAAATAAAAAAAACAAAAACCTTTTTTTTTTCACTTGAGAGGTTGCTTTAACTGACAACATATACAGATCAAAGGTCATAACAGGGCTGTTACATTGGTGGGAATTTATAAAAACTGGAGCATACAGAATTTGGAGCAGCTACCCATAGTAACAAATCAGCTTCTATCTGTAGTTTCTTTGATTACGTTTTGAAAATGAAAGACAGAAGCTGATTGGTTGCCATAGACAACTGCTCCAGTTTTAATAAATTCCCTATGTTGTATTTTTCAGTTAAGTGACAATAAACTCAGGAATTAAATCTTAAAAATGCATTCAAGTACCTTAACTGAAAGCACATTATCAATATGGCTGCTGTGACCTCACCCTTTTATAGTGAGGAAGTTGACTTATCCAAAAACCCCTTTTTGGCTTTCTAGACCAGCTGACCTAAGTTCAAAGGCCAGGCAGTGCATTATGGTTAGAAAAAATGTTATCTGCCAGGACCGCAAACTTCAATCATACAGAGTTCTGCTCGAAACCCATGATAGCAGTGGACACAATCTTCATCCTTATTTCTGACTTACAATTTCTCTTTGATATAACGGGGAAGATCTGGGAAAGTCTGGCCTCCTGCCACTGCCTGAACCTACAAAAGATTAGGCCATTCTTAGTTTTGGAGAAATTCTGACAAATATCCCACGTTTACTGGTCAGCCTAGCGGGTTGTGTATATGCCCGTGTATGAGCTGCTTTTTATTAAAGGAAGTCTTTCTTGGCTAGTGTACAGCCCATTTATACCTGTAACTGTCAACTGGTTCTGTGTAACAAATTGTAACATGTTTTTCTATGCTTTCAGCCATTTTTTGCTTAATGAAGATTGAGAAAGGATTATTTCATTTTAGGGGAAGGGTGTTGTGAAAAAAAAGCATTTTTCAAAGGCTATCATTTCTCAAACCACAGAATAGCTACTTTTTTAGGCGTATTTCTTATGCTCCTCATTTCCATCTAGTGGCTATAATGTGTATTTACTTGAAATTACATTCCATCTGGGCAAAAAAATGCTAATATTATTTGTTTTTGCTTTCATTAGCACAGATCAAATGCACATGCAATTTTGCAGGGCAAATGGCGAATTGCTTATAACGTATTCTACATCCCTACGTATTTTAAGCGTATAATTCCTGACCGAGAAGCAGCAGAGTAGTTCATCACATGTAACTATCAGGAGTTTGATAGGCATACCATGTCCACTCCTTTTGCTAACTGGATTACACTGAGCATGTCATCGGGGGCAAGATTTTGGAATCGGAAGGGCTGATGGAAACAATATGCCTGGGCAAAAGAGCTGCCGCAGAATGCTTACTGTAAGTGCCCTACCATTGAGAACTGACTTGCCTCACACTGTTTGAAGGATAAAGTTCCCTAAGTCTAGCTTTGCTTTAACTGTGCAGTAGTAGTACTGTTCTTATGACACTAGGATAGGATGACACAAGCCATAATGGTTTTTCTAACTCAGAAAAGTTAGATTTAATTGATTTATCTTCAATGTCTAACAACTTATTAATAAAATAAATAATTACATAAGAAATAGTACAAAGTTACAACATGAAAATAAGCACACACTGAAATGTACAGAGAAGATGTAACTTATTTTTCATTCCCCTGTGATAGTCTTACCTGCATGGAGAGAGTCACGGTTAAGAGTGCGAGTGTCAAAGCCATAAGGCTGTAACCTCCAAGTATTAGAGCCTTCCTTCCGAAGCGATCAATAAGTAGGCTCTGGGGAATAAAGTTATTAAACAAGCATTACAACAACTGACACAATGGGGGTGATTTACTAACCTAAACACACACACGCACCAGGTGCGTGTGCATTTTTACACAGCAAAACGTATTTATCAACCAAACACGAGCAACGTGTCACATTTTCACGCCGTTATGGCGCGTTTCTATGCATTTACGTACGTGCGCATCATGTAGCATGCGCCATAGGCTACACGCCGCTCTAATAGCGGCATGCAAGTCTCTAAAAGCATATTTCCACTAATGCCATATATGGAAAAATCATGCACATGATGCATATATAATGCTGCTTCACAGTTTAGACAAAAATGGTTAGCTCATGCATTTACATTCCTGCATTCATCAACGCAAGCAACACAACGTTGAGCTAATTTACACAACATCACCTTGCAATTCATGCAGGGCTTTGCACAACACACCTGCTGGGTGTGTACACACTACAAAGGTGTTTAGATTCCACCAATAGATCATGCACACACTACAGAGGTGTATACTTGTTCGTGGCGTGTTTATAAGGTTAGTAAATCAACCCCAATGACTTTGCTATACATTTAGACAACTAGACAAAAGTAGCCAGCTTTTGCTTTTTCAGTTTGACCGCAGTCACAATTTCTATGAATTAATATGTTTACTCTGTCACCAATTATGAATGAACAGTAAGTGCTCTACATCACTTCCTGTTCATTCATGATTGTGGCCATGGTAAACATATTATCTTCACTTATGATTAATGAAGTTATGAATGAACAGGAACACTCAGTATAGAGGCTTCCTATTCATTCATAGCAGGGGCTGCAAAAAAAGAGATTGATGACTCTGTGTCTTCAGTCTCTTTTTCTATTGTAAAAGGGAAATATCAGGGGTCTGTTTAGAGCCCTGATATTTCTCAGAGTCCACCACATTAAAGTTAAAAAATAAAAATATTTTTAAAAAAATTATAAATAAACAAAAATAAAATATATATTTTTTTAAAAGGTTAAAAAAAATGTGGTTTTGGTCGGAATTTTTTTTTTTCGGCTTCAAAATTTATTTTGGTGCACCTCTAATTTTGCTACTTTAAAGAGGAATGGAACTCTGGAAGTTGTGCTCAAAAAGGCAGGCAGAGGGGCAAGGACTAGTCACCCAAATTGAGTAAAAAAAAAACCAAATAGTTGCGCTAGGAGCAATATAGTGTCTAATAATTTACCAGCTGCAACAATGTGTGGTGTGACCCATGTGAATCTAAATAGCTAATATGTTGCGCTAGGCCAAGATATACAATCTCTATACAAGATTGTGATATGTCTATCAATTAATGAATATAATCAAATATAGTAGAAAAGAATAAATCAAGTTCGTGAAAATGTAAATAAATGAATATTTCATAAATTATACTGTGTGTGGTTGTTTATTCATTCCTAGTGCGTGTAGGGTTGTAAATCAATGGGTGCCATGTAATAGAAAATTTTTTGTGTGACAACCTGTGAATAAATAACTTGTTCCGTGAATGTGTGAAATAAATAAATAAATTATTCCTGAATATACTGTGTGTGATTGACTAAACACTCATTAGGAATTGATTAGTCGATCACACACAGTATATTCAGGAATAATTTATTTATTTATTTATTTCACACATTCACGGAACAAGTTATTTATTCACAAGTTGTCACACAAAATTTCATTCACATTGCACCCATTGATTTATAACCCTACACCCACTAGGAACTGAATAAACAACCACACACAGTATAATTAATCAAATATTCATTTATTTACATTTTCACGGAACTTGATTTATTCATTTGTCCTATATTTGATTATATTCATTAATTGATACACATATCACAATTTTGTATAGAGGAGATTCCACGTTGTTTATCAGTTCACTTTGGGCTAGCGCAACATATTAGCTATTTAGAGTCACCAAAATTGCCTGTAGCCCCCTGCAGCTGGTCTTTCCCCATCAATGTTTTACCATGCGTTGTTCTGCAATGTGTGTCTCTACGGAGCCATCTAGAGGCAGGGTTTTTGCTTCCTCATATCAGTCTCCAATGAGAACAACAGAGACATCACCCAATCTCACCCCAAATCTCCAAGGGCTGGCAGTCAGAGGCAGCTGAGCCTTAGATCTCACACTGCAGATATACAGCTATGAGGTTGTTGGTACAGGAGTGCCGGATAAAAAGTACAACAGTACATAGCAAATCTTCACAAATGGTATTGCAATCTAAATACATTATCATGCATTCTGACAGTGCTGGGATTTATAAGCTGCCAGGCACCACAGAAGTCACATACTTTGCTATGGTTATAGTTTTAGCAGTATCTTAAAGTGACACAAAACTCAGGAGTTAAAAATGCATTTAAGTACCCCAACTATTAACAAAAATATATCTCATTTGTGTATCACTCAACTGTAGATCCTCAAATCATCCCTGAATTTATACTGACACTGTCCTTCCTTCTAGAGGGGGGCTATTTTTGTTCCTTATGATCCCTGTGTGTGTTGTAAAGTAGCCAACGCACCAAGCTCATTCCTGTTATGGACTACAATCTCTAGTTTAGTTTACTAATTTGTATTGAGATTTTAGTCCATCACGGAAGCAAGCTTGGAGCGGTGGCTACTTTACAACACACACAGGGACCATAGGGAACAAAAGAAGCCACCCTCCAGAAGGAAGGACAGTGTCAGCACCAATTCAGAGATGATTTAAGGATCTACAGCTGAGTGATACACAAATAAGATACATGTGTTAATAGTTAAAATACTTCAATGCATTTTTAAGATTTAACTTCTACGTTTAGTGTCACTTTAATGGAAACCTGTACTGAGACAGGTAAATATCATGTCTTTGCTGAACTCTTAATTACCTCCTGTGTCACTATCCTTGTTCAATATGTAGTTCAGACGTTATGACTTCACTCTGGCAGTCCCACATTTCCCTTGTTAAAGGTTTTTCTCCATGACCCTATGAGTGTCTTTAGCTGAATAGAAATCAGTGGTGGTTTTTATCAAGAAACTTACACAGATCATAGCTGAGACAAATTCAAAACTCCCAACTCCTAAGGAGACATATGCAATCCGGTCTTCAGGGAAACCAGCATTATGGAACACATCATATGAGTAAAAATAAATCTGTTGGATCATAATAAGTAATATGTTACAGGTATACAGCCAAGGTTTATTCAGTTACATCATTTTAAAGGTTCTCAAAAACCACCTATATGATGTTAAGTAAGTAAATTTGCCTTTCCATCCATTGATTTCACAGGTGATGGTGACCAGAGCATACAACGTTACCATCACTTGTTGTCACCAGGTGCATTTTCAGTGCAGGCAAATTGCAAAGACATAAAAAAATAATTGGCCTGTAGTTTGTCATCATATCAAGTAAAATGTATAAAACACAATGGGGGGATTTATCAATACCAGAACAGGTGGCAGTTCTGTCCGGACCGTGATCGCCTACCTGCATTGGGTTATCCTAGGCCGGTGCATCCACTGCCAGCCATAACCCAGCACAGACCCCCCCTCTGCTTCAGTCATTGGCTGCTAAAAGTGATCTAGGCAGCTGTTCAGCCACCCAGATCACTTGTGTAGTAGGCTGCTATTGTGCTGCTCCCCCGCAACCATCCCCCCTGCGTGGTTTTCAGGTCCCTTACTCCTCTGGGGGGCCTAGGACCACGGCACACAGTGACAGGATGGAGAGCGAAAGCAGACTGGGGAATGTCTGTTGCCCGATCTGCTCTGTGATCACTGAAGCATGCTTCCTCTATCAGATCCGTCAGAGTCGGCTGAAGTGCTGGGTAAACAGAAGATGAAGTACATTTCTGTGCTTCATCGTTTGTGTTGGAGGTACTGGGGAGACATCGGAAGTCTAATAGATCCCTGATGTCTCCATAAGGAGAACCTGTCACTTCCAAATGCTGTCACATAGGGGCTTATCCCCTTTGTGATTGCAATAGATAAGCAACATTTAAAAAAAAAAGAAGGTGATATAAAACTTTGCATTGTAGTGCAGCTGCTTGTGTGAATGCAGCCTAAATGGTGGACTGCGATATAGACACAGATTGAGTGACTGTTCTGTCCGCATTGCGATTCGGACTTCTGCTCGATGGAAATTTTACTTACTGGACCTTGTAATTTAATTCACTGCCGCTGATTGCCCCTTCTCTATGGGACTACGCAGCCGTACGCCACCCTACGCTCACCTCAAGTGCAGGTCCGTAGGGGTGCGTGCTTCCTGGCTCGGACGCAGACAGGATCCATCCTGTCAGCGTACGAGTATGCTCACCCGCATGGACGTGCAGTGCGGGTGAGCGCAGGGGGGCATACAGCCACGTAGTCCCTAGGGTTGCCACCCATACTGTAATGACCTGGACAGTCAGGGTTTGGAATCCTGTGCCCGGGTACAAGCCTTTTTCAGACCCGGGCAAGGGATTCAAACCTCAGACTTGCTCACGCCCGACTTCCTGATTGGCAAGGAAGCTAGCTTCACTTGCTGGTAGGCAGCCTGGCTTCCTAATCAATCAGGAAGCCCAGTGGTACGTCATGACTCATGTCCTGGCCTCCTGATTGGTCAGGAAGCCATGCTACCTAGAAAAAAGTGAAGCTGGCTTCCTAGCCAATCAGGAAGCGGGTTGACATCATGACTCGCCACACGTCTTCTTGATTGGTCAGGAAGCTAGGTAGCCTCTGAAGCCGGTTTCTTTCTCTTGAACACCGGCTTCACAGGAAATCAGGAAGCCAGGCTACGGGTCATGATCCGCCGCCCGCCTTCATGATAATTGGGGCACAAGGCACCAATTTTGGTACTTGTTATCGGCGAGTACCCAAAAAAATAAATACCGGTACTCGTAGTCTACACCAAAAAAATTGTATCAGTTAGGGATGCACCGATATATATTGGCCGCCGAAACATATCGGCCGAAAATTGCACTTTTGGCTAAATGCCGAAAGTGTCATTTTTCTACCGATTCCCGCGCGCATCCGTGCTTTCTTTCCTCCTCCCTCTCCCACAGGCGCTGCTCTGTGTCCCAGCGGGGGGGGGGGGGAAGAAAGTGTGACAGCCGGCCGAGCGCTGTGAGCGTCCGGCGTCTCTCCTCCCACACCGCTCAGCCTCCTGTCACAGATCGGCAGAGCGGTGTGTGGGCGGAGACAGGCCGCACTGTCACAGGAGGCTGAGCTCTCCTCCATACACCGCTCACTCAGCCTCCTGTGACAGCGTGTGACAGAGGAGAACGGGTACAAGCAGTCAGTGATCACTGAGTATTTGTAGATAATTGAGGACAGAGTATGATTACTATATCCTCAATTATGAATGAATGGGAAGTCCCCTCACCGCTACATCACCTCCTGTCCATTCATAGTTGTACAATAGTTATAGTAAACATACTATGTTATCATGCTATGAATGAACAGGAACACTCAGTATAGAGGATTCCTGTTCATTGATAACAGGGGATACAGAAAAAGAGATAGAGGGCTCTGTGTTCTCAATCTCTTTTTCTATTTTAAAAGGCAAATATCTGAGATCTGTTTAGACCCCCAATATTTCCCCTAAGCCCCTAAAAGTAAAGTAAAAAAGAAAAATATTTAATAAAAAA